CCAAGTCCAAAGAAGTTAACCTTTGTTTTAATATTAGCTAGCTTGAATAGTACGTAGCAGTAAGTAAATCTAAGAGCTCTGGAAATTAGTCACCCTTGTTTCCTACTCATTTGCATTTCATGGTGGGCTGACCTTAACATGCGAAAGGTTCATGTCCCAACTGACAATTTCCCTGTGGTGGTTTCCTAGTACCTTAAGGCATTAGCTTAACCTGCAACCTTTTCCCTTAGTTAGGGCACTCCTGTCCATCTGGCAGGCTACTTCCACAAATTTAAAGGAATCTGCACTTCGCAGTGAGATGCACAGAGCACTAATGAACACAGAGAAGCCGTGTCCAGCTTAGGAAGTCTCCAGAGCTAAAAATAGCTGGAGGCTCAGAAAGTACTTGGGAGGAATACAATGTACACTTGTGTGCTCTTACTAGTCCCTACGCATCCCCTAGATCTACGGTAACTGTGAGAACTGGGATAATGGGCTATTTGACCCTCTGGCTTGACCCTGTAAGGCTGTTCGTATGTGCTCTTCCCTCTGTCAGATGTGGCTAATGGGTCAAATACTATTTGGAAAGGGAAGATGGTAAAGAGAAAAAAACAACTTCTACTCCCCAGTGTCTTTTCAAGGAAGTAACTCAGGTTCAACCAGCACTCCAGTTTCAGTTTAGCTCTTGGGGTGCCAGGTGTAGGCCGGCTTCCTCAAAGCCAAAGGACTGTGTATGCATAAAGCTCAGTGCCACATTCCCAAATGCTGCAGGAAGGTTTGCTAGGTCAGACACAGTGCTCTGCAAATGCTCATGACCAGTTTCCCCTCCTGTGTTGTGCCCAGCCTGCAACACAGCATGCTGGAAAAAGCAGTCCAGAAACATCACAGAACCTCTTGGGCATCTCTGCACTGTGCTCCTTATCGCTCCGACAGGAAGGTTCGCTGAACTGGATCCATGCGTTCACACAACGCTATGACTGACCTCGTAAGCCTCCTGTAACCTGCGTCCATGAGGAGAGGGTGCACAGGAGGCACCTTCAGGTGCGGGCAGCTTCAGACTGGCACGGCTAGACACAAGCTGTCTCCAGGGACGCTACTGAAGTGCCCACGCACCGGACTCTTGGTTCTAAGGCGGTTCCCTCCAATGCTCCTGAATATCAGTCACAGAAACAGGCAGCCGCCACCTCACCGGGCAGCACAGCAGAAAATGAAACCGTACGCTCCACGTCCCGGGGTGGGCTCAGTCTGGGTCAGCTCAGTGCCTTGACGTCCTGCTCCTGGGAACGAGCATGTGAGCTAAACTGCTCCAGCCCCGGCAGCGTCAGTGCCGCCAGCAAGACCTCCTCCTCCTTCTCCTCCTCCTCCTCCTCCTCCCCGCCCCCCCCCCCCGATCG